CCTGACCTCATAAGACCCTGTCCCTTGACTACCATTTCGTCAGCAGAAGCCTCTACCTACCTAGATTAACTTTTTTCCTTGTCTAGCCACACTACTTGGTTCATTCAGTCACACCAGTATCTCAGACTTACTTGCCTTGTCTTTCTCCCACTTTTTCCCAGTATACTTTCTACTCTAGTTCAATTTAGCCATGTGCTTTTCACCTCATATTTTTGTAAAGGTAACTAATTCTCCTGGCAGGATGAAGAGAGTCCTATGAAATATATCCTATTTCCTTTCATGCAAGGTGCATCCTTCTGTACAATTACGGACTTTGCTTATTTACTTTTACCATGTTGCATCATGCAATAATTCTGCACACCTTCACCATTTGATAGTTGGGAAAAGAGCACATTTACTTTTTCTTTTGCACAATGCCCTCCATAGAGTTTAAATCCTTTTCTATCTGTGATTATAATTAACACTTGTTTCTGCAAAATTGGCAAAGTAGATAATTGTTGAAGTTCTGTAATGGGCACATGGACGTGTATTCTGTTATTCTACATTTGTTTATATTTGAAGATTCTAATAATAAAAACGTTAAAAATAACTTGTTTCTGTTATATTATTAGACTTGTCTGTCCAGAAGATAGTCGAAGAGTACATCCTTCAAATGGATTTAACTAAAGGAGAGAGAGCAGATTCACAGCATATTCTTCACAGGGACTTTCACCTACATGTGTATTTCAAGGAGATGGTTCAGTTGACTACTATAGAGGTAAAAATTGAAGAGATACGGAACAGCACAACGGTCATATTTTTAAACTACTGGTTACAATTATGGTATGCCTGTAGGTAGCAGAGCTGAAGAGAAAGAGAAAATTATAATTTACTATCAAGAAAAGACTGCAGTTGCTGCTGAATAGTTCACTTGAAAAATTGCCCACTTTTTATTTATATCTGCTCATTTTTTTGCAATTACTGGTTAAAAATCATTTCACAATAAAAAATTAAGTCATGTCAAAAGGTAACTTGTGTTATTACAAAATCAGCCATCTACATCTTTCAATTTTTTGTATGAGTACTTGTGAATATAAGGAAATTAACAATGTGGAATGCATATAATTGTTGCTTTAAAAACTGGAAATCTGTTTGATTTATTGAGGCTGTGTTTTTAGTTTTATATGCTAATGGTTGCATTTCTGGTTGCAAACTTTGTAAAAAATAATTTTCTATGATTCATTTATTTATTTTACAATACTTATATACATATAGCAGCAACTTGACCTTCCACCTGGTTGGTTAAACTACAAAATCATAGTGTTTTAAAACCTGCCAGTACTGAATTCCTGAAGAACACTAGCTCTTTTACCCAATAGAGTGGCAGTAGGAGGACAAATTCATCATAGACAGAAACAAGAAAGCAGCTGAGGTTTTAAAGAATTTTTAAAGGTTGCATATAGGCTTGCATTGTGGATCACCTACCAGCTCTTTCCTATAAGGCCTCTACCAAGAACACAGAGAGTAGCACACTGAAGGCTAGGGGCAGGGCAGAAAAGCAGGGAGAAATCCTTTTGGGGCCTACCCTGTGTCTGCTGAGTATGAGGCAGTAGTTCTCCAAAGGTAGAGGACAGGGCAGACAAATCTCAGGAGGTACAGAAGACTGACAAAAGAAGAAACACTTTAGGATTGTTGTGTAAGAGAAAGAGTAAGCTTTGTTAAGTGGCACTTGAGCTGGCCCTCTGTGGAATGGGTTGCCAAAACAAGTACGGCAGTCAGGAAGTATATGACCACTTATTTGGAATGGTAAAGTAGCTGAGATCTTTGATATTCAAAGCAGTACTTTGGACAGCAGTACTGGCATTATCTGGCAGTTAGAAATGTAGATCTTGGCCTCATGCCAGACCTACTGAACCATTTTTTTTTATTAATTAACGTTAAATAGTTTTTATTTCAACAAGATCCCTGAGTGAGTCACATACACATTAAATTTTTATAAGTGTGACATATTAAGGTGCATTCTAATCCTTAAAATTCTACTTTAATATGTACAGTCAAGAGCTGAGTGGTTAGCTCTACCAGAAACTAAATGTATGGTCCAAGAAAGAAAATTCAGTGTGGGTAATCAAAGAAGGCTTCGTTTAGTAATCAGGAGTTGAGCTTGTCCTTAGAAGCTGGAGGAAGAAGATGGATGTATCAAGAGATAATATAAATAAGGATACTAAAGCAGAAATAGTGATATGGAGCAGCCCCCTGGCAGTGGACAGGGAGGATAACTAGGACTTTTACCTGGTTCCCCCTAAAATACCCAAGCCCAACTTTTCAAAGTGAAATAGGTCACGTATCTTGCCCCTAAAGAGCATAACTCAGACTCTGAATAGGATGGTCTTAAGTGTCCTACGGGAGATCCAGATAAAGGGCTATGGTAGCAAAAGGAAAAAGAAGTTTATTCAGACTTGGAGGTTTGGAGAACACCTCACTGAAGGAGCATCTAAACTGAGCTTTGAAGGTAGAGTGGGAACAAATGTATTCCATGTTGAGCAAATAACCTGAACAGTGACAGGTGAAGAATCAGGCATGGATCAAAAGAGTCAAATATCTGTTGGGGAGTTTAACCTTACTTTGTAGGCAACAGAAAGCCACCAACAGTTTCAGTTGGGGAACAATGTGATTAGGCATGCTTTCCATAGAGATTAATCTGGCAGTTATAGACTGGTGATAAGACCATCATTCCTGGTGTCAGGTTTTTACTGGGGTGGTAACAATAAGATTAGAAAGGGGAATCAAAATGAAAAATATTGCAAAGGCAAAATGGGCAGGTCCTACTGATGAAGTTGATTCTGATCTTGGTTACTTGAGGCAATGATGCTATTAATCATGATAAAATGCAGGAAGAGGGACAGGTTTAGGAGGAAAGTAGAGTTCAATTTAGGTCATCTTAAACACACTCTGTTCCCTGCCTAACTCCCAAGACTTTCCTCCCTTTCACATTATAAGGAGTGAGATTGTTTCTTAGGTGACTGGATCTTACTTATCAATGACTAATTGTTCATTTGCTGGTGAGCTTTGCTATTCAACATACACACAAAAGGAACATAAAAACAAAAAGTCAATTCAGGTGCTTGTGATGCCAAAATTGTATCATCAATTTAAAATTAGAAATTTATTTAAAATAGGGAAATGCAAATGGTATAGCAATGATTTTGTCACATGGACAGTCTTAAATGCCACTTTTCTAAAGAGAAGACTTGTGGAGACATTTCTTTCCTCATTATTAAAAAATCTATCATACCTGTGATAAAACCAGTTTTGTTCAGTTTATTAGACTCATGTACAAATAAAAACTTGGGCAGTTAACTATACATGGTCCTAAACATATAAAATAGGGACAATAAATAGATGCATGGTCTCTTAGAAAATCGACCGTTTTAGAATGGGAGGCTAATTTGGGAGCTTCCAGAGCACCGTCATTAAGGCTGTGGAAAGAAGTTGCAAATTGATGACATCTTGGAAGTGATGACATCTTGGAAGTGATGACATGTTTTTAAAAGAATATTCCATGGAAAGATAAGTAGATTGTAATTTACAGAAAACACACTTTACATTTTAGTTAATGAGACTCTATGGCAGATTGAAACCTGGGCCCAATGCTTCACTCCTTCTCTGTGTTGGAATTAATCATCCATGTCCTTTGCCATATGACTTTGCCACTCTTCATAGTGTTTTTCCAATTTGCTAATGTTGGGCTTGGTCATATGATTTATTTTGGTCAATAGAATGTGCATGGAAGTGATGGACCATCCTGGCCATTGTCTTAAAAGGTATTCTATGTTTCCTCTCACTCTCTTGTGCCCCTGCCATTCAGCATGAGAACATGGCTCAGGAAACCACCAGACAAGGATAATATGAGATAACATGCAACAGGCCTGAACTTACTGCCTAAAGCAAAGCTACCCAGCTGAATTGCAGACCCATGAAGAAGAAAACCAATGTTTAGTATTGTAAGCCACTGAAACTTTGAGGTTGTTATCATTAATTTAAAAAAAAAGCAAAACAAAACTAACAAACTGCAGTATATCATTAATCAGCCCAGCTGACTAGGAGCAACTGTCATGTTCTAACAAGATAAACAATGATTAGAACCAGAATCAGAGAGGGCCCAGACCAATGTGGATGAAATTTGGCTCACCTTTTAAACTAAGAAAAAAAAATTTAATAATGATTTTATGATTTTAAGGTAAGCTTTGTGAGCTATTAAGAGACTTTATTTTAATATTCAAATATACATTTTGAGTATAAAATATAAACATCAAAATTACTTGTATTATTTTTGAATCCAGATTGAATTTTCAAAAGGTCAGGCATGTTGGCCTGAATAACAGGCATCTCTGCCTTCACCAAAAAGGGCAACAAAACCTGAGAAATAAAGTGAAATACAGAGCTGGAATCTTAAAACTTGTTAAAGAATAATGTTAGCCCTGGCTGGTATGGCTCAGTGGGTTGAGTGCTGGCCTGTAAACCAAAGCGTTGTAGGTTCAAGTCCCAGTCAGGGCACATGCCTGGGTTGCGGGCCAGGTCCCCAAGTAGGGGGTGTGCAAGAGGCAACCACTCATTGATGTTTCCCTCTCATTCTTCTTCCTTTCCCCTCTCTCTAAAAATAAATAAATAAATAAATTTTAAAAGAGTAATGTTAAACTTTGTGTATAATAAATAATGTCAAGAAGGTTATAGCAGCTATACCTGTTTTTTAAAAAGTCCTTCCTCAAGAGAAAGACAAAAAATTATGGCCTGTATCCTTTTGGCTTTGAATGTACTTTTTAGACTACTGTGCTGTCCAATATAGTAGCCACTGGTCACATACAACTTGAAATCTAGTAGTCCTGCTTAAGATGTGCAATAAATATAATATACACACAACAGGTTTCAAAAGCTTAATATGAAAAAATAAACATTAAAATTTATATTAACTACATGTTAAAAGGTTAGTATTTTGGATATAGTCACTTTATTAAACTCTCCACAGTGACCCAGTTTGATTGTACAATATTTTTATTACAGAGGTCTTGATTGATACAATATTAAAATGAAGTATACTTTTAAAAAACATTATTTCTATCACATTTTATATTTCTTACTAAGATAAAACTTTTATATTTCTCTGTCTCACACACACACATGCACACCCTAATTAACTTCAATTTTTTGTTTTTGTCTTCAGAAATAACGACTTCTGATTTTAACCCCTATGATTTCATAGAAATAAAAAGTTTCCCACTTTCTAAAGGAATGGGGTCACCAGAACCAAGTTGGGGTGAAAGTCCAAGAAGGAATGATAATCATTTATAACCAGTGGGCAATCCAATATTAAAATTATTTGATGATAATTATTTTATTTGACCTTCTTCATCCAGAATGGCCAAAAGCAGATTCCTAGATCTGCCTCAAAATCCTCTTTCCCTACAACAGATTAGTTTGTATCTGCTGATCATCTCCATGATTTGAGATTTGTAAGTGGAATTTGGCTCCCAAATACCTTTAAGATTTTTGTGGGAGGCAGAGAGGGACGAGTCCAAGCAATAAGACAGAAACGGAATAGGAAAAGATGTCAGTGTTTACAAAAGAAAACTTGTGAATCCTAATCTCAACTTGCTGAGGGGCAGTATTTAGAAAAGAAAAAGCCATAAACTTGTGGAAGAGACTTGAGTTTCAGTACCAGCTCTGCCATGTACTAGTTTATGTGACCCTTGTTTGTAAAATGGAAATTATACCCTGGTTGGGGGGTTTTAGGACCAGAATAGATAATGTACCCGATAGTGCTTTGTATATGCAGACATAGGGAAGAAAGGAGCTGTTGCTATTAGCTCTATTTATATGACAGTTTATTTTCATCATTATCATCAACTACTATTTATCTGATTCTGAACTGCTGTTCAGTGAGCAAGCAGTATAATTAAGAAGCCAGGGGTATGGGAATCATTTATAAACATCATATGTCACATATGTTACCATGCGAAGTACATGAACAGAATATCAGTGCTGCCATGACAGCCTTTGTGAACTTAAAGCAATATTAAATTCCAAGTCCATCAGGAAACAGGTCATCTGTCTATTTCCCTTTCCACCATGCCCATAAGCCCTGTATTCATGCATATTTAAATGTATGCTTTGAAATTATAAGGAGACTGTCTAGTAGTATATTTGGGAGAGAAAATGGTTAAGTGCATGCCAAGCTTTAGCTTAGCCATTTGAGCAAGTAACTTGACCTTTCTCAGCCTAACCTGCTGTTTCTATGAAGTGGAATGATAGTACCTACCTTCAAATTATTGTGAGGATTAAATGAGAAAATGAAGGTAATGCACTTGGTCACAGAGCATAGTACACAACAAATGCCCAATAAATACTAGCTATAACAATATAGCTTACTACTATTAGAGGTTAAGCACGTCCTAATTTGGCTTCTCATTCCTGATCAAGGTGCAACAAGTTCAGTTGTGGGTATCAGAAAAGAAAATGTGCCTGTCCACAGCTTTATTACACTTATATTCACCTGGATATTGTTTTTTTTTTTAAATGACTTGGTTATTCAAGAAATGTAGGGATATTTGGCTTCTAGTTTGTGGGAGAGCTTTTCCTTTCTCCCCTCCACCCTACCTCACATGAGCTCAACAGTCACTCCCCAGATCCAGAGATGGAGAGCCTAGGGCAAGATCAGAGAAACACATCGCCACTCTGTCCTGCTCATAAGGTAACTCTTACAGCAGTCCTTAAATGAAGAGGGTACAGGGTCTCTTCATATTTCCACGACAAGGCCCATTGCTGCTACTTCTCCCACAAAATATTCCATAGAATAAATAAATAGAATCCATGCTTGTGTGACACAAGTAGCATCAACACATTCAGATCTGATTCCTGGCATATTTTGATGTATAAATACCATGGCAGCAAAAAGGTATGGCACACTGCACTAAGGCAACTTTCCCCCTAAAGTAAACCCTGGGACCATAAGACATGGCATGGTTTTAAAATTAATAACACCTTTGTGGTGCAGTTAGTGTATTTGCCTATTAACTGAAAAGTTGGTGGTGTGAGCTTACCCAGGAAGGGTCTTGTCTGTAGCCAATTTCTTGGTGATGAAAATATTCTGGAATTAGGTAGTGGTGATGGTTGCACAACATTGTGAGTGCAGTGCCCCTGAACTGTACATGTTAAAATGGTGAATTTTAAGTTATATGTATTTTACTACAATAAAAACAAAAAGTTCAATAAATGCAGTCGAGAATGCACTTCTAATCCTGCATTGTAACTGTATTTTTCTTTCTGGTGTGTATACCCCATAGTATATACCCTGATATCTGAATGCCTATATGTACATCAGCTTTTTAGAAATATCTGGTCTGGGTGTTCAACTCTGTACCATTTTGGCATCACCTAGGAACATGTGACTCATCCACATCCCTGTTTTGGATTAGATTAAGTATAGTATTAACTGGCACAAGCACATAAATTCCCTTGCAAGTCTCTTTGGTCCTAGACATATTTGTCTAGTCTAGAAAATTCTCCCATGCAAAGGGCAGGCTGGGAATGGAATGTGTGCCTGCCCTCTCCAAAGGCACTGTATGGCTTTCTTAATAACTGGGAAATGAGAGAAAGGGTCTGTAGGAACACAGCTGAGATTCTTTTAGCTCAGCACAACTTCTCAGCATAGGAGTCAGGACTCTCTTCTTCTGGACAAAACCAATATTGTTCTTTTTATAAAGCAAAGATCATGGAAGATGGCAGGTTTTTAAGACCTACATGAGCATAAAGTACAAAAAAGAAAGGAGGAGCTGGAGTTGGGAGAGTCACAAAAGAAACAATATCCACCAGGAAGTCCTTGAGGCAGAAGGACTTCTGAGGAAAGGCTTCAGCAAAACCAAGGAAGCTTCATACTGGTAAAGACTGGCCTTGGTGAGCAAGGAAGGATGATGACCTTGTACAACCACTGTGGAGGAAAATGCTCCCTGGACAAGTTTTTTTTTTTCCTCACTCCAGCCAGCAGATTTCAGCTGCTCCTGCTATACCATGTCTTTCCAGCAAAGTGAAGGCTTGTGAAAGATAATCAAGCCTATGATGACCACTGCAGTCAGGATCAGAGAGAAGAAGACCATGAGGAAGATATAGGTGGAATGGGGGAGAGGTGCGGACATCGGCTGCTCAGCTGGGATCATGTTGGTCAGGTTCAGCATGTAGCCCAAAGTCCATCCCACATCAGTGTTCTGGATCTGCAAACAGTGAGGAAAATCTGTTGTTTCTGGTGAGCTTTCATGCACCCCCATTCATAATACTAAGCAGCCAGAAGACAGAGAGCACCGCATGCAGTTCTCTACAGGGATTACTTCCACATTCTAAACTGGGAATTTAGCTGTGGGGAACATGGAGCAGGAGCAAGTGATGAAGGAGATTTTGGAGCCTCACTACCATATTCTCAAAATTCAGAGAAGATCTTTGTGACAGACTGCCCAATTCTCCCGCAGAACTTAAAGAGAGCTTAAATAGACCTTTGGAGATTTGCACTCATCTTTTGTTGTGTGTGTGAATGTCGGGGGTCAGGGGTGTGGAAGGGAGGTGGGAGGTGACAGAAATCAGACAAAGGATTAGGGATAATGATTGTCCCTGGTCTTTACATCTATGTCAAGGACGGGAATCTCATCCATATAAAACCAGGACTTCTTTATGATTTAACTAGTGAAGATTGGAGAATCCCAGCAAATTAGTCTTTATGGCAATTGGAAGACTGCATATGCATGAGAAAGGATTCTTATTAAATGATTAAAATATGCTCTGACCCTGCCTTTTTCCTAGGATATTTTCCAGTTGCCTCACAACTTATTGGACTATATAGTCTATGAATAATAAATAATTTTGGAAATGTTTTTATTACATGGTTATACATGGTCATGGTAGAAAATTTAGAAAGCACAGATAATCCTAAAAAAAAAGAAAATAAAAACCACCTATGCTTCACCACTCAGAAGTTGCTGCTATTATCATTTTGTGACATATCCTTCCAGTCCTCTCTGTGAAGTTTTTTTCTTACCAAAAAAAGGAATTAAATTGTATGTAGAATTATTGACTTAACAATACCTTGTAAGCATCATCCCAGGTCTCTTAAGGGATTTTAATAATATCACTGGCATGAATTGCCTTATATGTTCATTGTTACTTTTTCCATTATTTATATGTCTTAGAAATGGAGTAATTGGATAAAATAAGGTGTACATTTTAGAGCTCTTAGCACATATTGCCAGTACAATCTTCCCAAAGGTTGTGCCAATTTACATTCTAGCCAATACCATGTGGCAATGTTCCTCTCTCCTAACCCCTTACTAATACTGGGAATTAATCTCTAAAAAGCCCATTTCCCTTTATGGGAGACAGGAACCTTATCTGACTGTGTGTCAGGAAAGCTCCAGAACTAGAGTTATCACACAGGGTTTAGAACTACTGAATTATTCATTGGAGTTCAAATAACAAAAGTCATGCCCTGGTGTGGCTCAGTGGACTGAGTGCCGGCCTGCAAACAAAAGGGTCACCAGTTTGATTCCCAGTTAGGGCACATGCCTGGGTTGTAGGTCAGATCCCTGGTTGGGGGCACAAGAGGCAAGCACACATTGATGTTTCTATCCCTTTTTTTCTCCCTCCTTTCCCCTTTCTCTAAAAGTAAATACATAAAAATCTTTATATATACATATATAAGTATATATCTTTATATATACATAATTTACAAGTGATATAATTTATCACTTATAATTAAATTATATATATAACTTACAAGTGAGTTGATACAAGATATCCCTTGTATATCTGACATAGACATGTCCTTCAGAGAGATAAAATAAACTGTGATGTGATGGAAGGAAGACTGGGATATTAAAACAAGGAAAGATTTGCATTTGAATTATCCTCAAGGCTGCTACAAGTTCTCTGCCTCAATGGTTTTCTTTATTCTCAAAATCTCCAAATTTAATAAATGGGTAAATTTTTTGTCATTATTGTGTATGGGCATAAAATGTAGAGAAATACTGCTCTTGATATTTTTTCAAGTATGAGTTGCCTGCCCATGAGCCCCACAGCAGATGTAAATGTTTCTCTATGCCTGGAAACCTGCAGGTGGCGCTATGGTAAAGCACAGCAGTGGGGTTTCTTCTTCAAGGCTCATGCTAAACTTGGCTTCTAAGCAAAGACCCTCACAGCCACTCATCCCTTTCTTCACACTTAATGTTCAGATTAGTCAACCTTAAAGCTACAACCACAAAGCCTTCACCCGCTTGTGAGAAACCAGGATCACCCTTTCCTGATTCATGGAAGGGGTCTTTGGGATGAATGCTGAGGTCAGCACACAGAATCACTGTGACTACTAAAATACATTACTATAACACTCATTTTTTTGTTTTATAAGGAATTTGTCACTGTTATGTAAGCAGAAAGGAGAGTCTGAGAATGCAGGTAGCTCTTCTTAGGTAGGATATCCACAACTGGATGGTCAACAAACCCAGGAGAGTTTGACACAAAATGCCAGCATGGGTTAGAGGTGAAGTAGAACAGGACATTAGGCCAAAATTTACATCAGGTTAACTCCTACCTCTTTCAATCCCAAAGCTGCTTCAGCCACAAAAACCCAACCTCCCTCAAGCCCAATAAATACCTGGCCCATGAAATGAATATTCTTCCAGGAATCAGGTGTGAAATGATAGCCCTTCTGAAGGAGAGAGATAATGTAAGTTCCAGAAAAGCAGTATTCACTCAGGTACTTCTCCTTCACGTCACCAAACTGCATCTTCAGCTGGAAAGGAAGTGAGGGAAATATCATACTTGTATAACAGGCACCTTTTTAAGACCTCTTTTTCAGTTTATCAAGAGAGGGGGAAGCCCCAGCTCACATAGACCTGAAAGCTGGCCTCTCTGGCAGGCTTTGGGAATGGCGCTGTGTTCCTCCAGTGGGTGCAGTGGTTTATAGCTTAGAGTCTGTTTAGGGAAACTTTTCCTCTAAGGTTCTATGAGATGGTCAGAAACATTCATCCCTTGTGAAACTTGAATTTCACAGATTAGCATGTTAAAGTTGTGAAAAATCTTGCATGAAAGAAATCCATTAATCTTTGTGTAATCAGTTTTCTATATTGTCTTGACCAGAGTCTTTGGTTCAGAGCCTCTATAAGTTTCTTAAGGAAATAGTGTCATAAAGAGCCACTCAGTTTAATCCCTAGACTAGCAGCATCAGCATCCCCTAGGAGCTTATTAGTCCTCACCCAGAACAGCCAACACAGAGTGTGATTACATACATGGTAAACTTTGAGAAACAGCTCTGGAACACAGTTTAGGAAGCATTTTGCTCAGGACTGTTAAAGGTACCAAAATCTCGCCTTCTGTTCTCTGGCCTTACCTAACATTTATTTATTTATTTTTGTATGTAAGTCATGCAAAGGGGTCTTCTTCTTGAGTCCTTCATGTATTTACTCGACTCCTGAATGAAGATATTAATGGCTACCTGCCAACCTTTGTCTTTACTTGCCTTTACTTTGCCTAGCTGTTGTGAATATATGCCTGGATGCCCACAGCTTGTTCTACTCCTCTTCTCCCCTCAAGGTTAACAGGCCAGGGCATCTCTAGCTCAGCTCAGAGTTCCTTCTACTGCCCTATTCCTCAGCCCTTGAGATAGGCATTTCCTCCTGTACATCCTAGGAAGAGAGAGTTAGCATTTGTTAAGCATATACTAGGAATTATGCCAGATGTTTTATATGTAGGGCTTCCTGGTCGCCTGCTTACCTCCTTTTGCCCAGATTTTTCTCCCTCAAAGGGAACACCCCATCTCTAAACTCTAACTGCTAGCTGTAATCTTTCTCACTTGTCTCTTGCCAGCCCTCAATTTCTGGACAGTTAATTCCACACCTAGCCTGAATTGTCCTGCTCTGATGAAATTCTTCAAATGACCCAGCTTGGAAACTTTTTATCACAGTCCTTGAAATTGCTCTTTGATCAACTCTGTATATGACATTCTCCTGAGACCTTGGAGTGACATCAATTGACTTTGCCTGTCTAGGTCCCTACCCCTTTCTTTCTACACTCTGGTTTTCCTTTGTCAAAAGTCCTCTTCTCCCATTTGATGTAGTCTTGGCAGTCCAGTCAAAAAGCCCTGTGGGATACAGAATTTCAAGAATCCACTGCTCCAACCCTATTGGTTCCTGAAGGCTTGCTATCCCTTGTAGCAATGCCATTTTGGCCTAATTTCCCTGAATTCTTCAATACTCCTATGCCCCTCCTCCTTCTGGGAAACTGCACATTAGCTATGCAGTCTAACCTGCTGAGGATTACTTATGATACTATCCAACAATATAGAAGCCAAAGGCATCTACCTGGTTCATCAATCCAGACTTATCATGGTTCTTTTCAATTCCAGTTGACATAAAATATTATATTAGTTTCAGGTGTACAACATAGTGATTAGACATTTACATAACTTACAAAGTGATCGCCCCAATAAATCTAGTACTCACTGACACTGTATATAATTATTATATTATTGACTATATATATTACCTGTACTGTACTTTACATTAAGACAATTTGTATTTCTTATTTCTTTCACCTCTTACAGCCCAGAATTGATCACATTAATGCTTGCAGATTCGATACTATATGCTCTCCAAATGAGGTGATGATTCCTCCTTTCGTGCCCTCCTTTGCATTTTATTTCCCCTGCCAAAGCAGGGACAGGCAGCACTACTATAGTATGTGTAAAACATCCAGCCCACTTTTTAGCACATAATATGTGCTTAACAATTGTTAGTTCTCTGTCTGCCAGAGGTGCCTAGAAGGGACATTCCCAAACCAAAGTCACACTGGGAGAGCAGTCCTTCCTCATGTTGAGGATAGCAAGAAAAGAAGAAATGAGTTACCCTATAACAGAATATTTGACAGAAAAACAAAACAAACCAAAAAATGAACAATGCTTTTTCCAGACAGATGAACAATGCAGTTAGAAAAAATTAACACTGGATGATAACACCCATCTCAACATTCTAGGATCTGTGTGAGGGTCTGGGTCTCACCTACAACTCCACCCCCCATCCACCCCATATTCCCACATCCCTCCCCCACCAAATGTTTAATAATTTCTCCCAAATGCAGGCCTTTCTGAGCTTACTTCCAGGGCCTCAGCCCCTGAGCAATTCCTCATGTGACTTAGCTGGCAGACCAACAGGTCTGGATACTGTAAGATTCCCAACTTAATGTAATCTGATGAAATAGGAAGTAGATGACAATAAGGAGTAAAAACCTGACAGAACTTTCACTCTGAACAAGGAAGTAATTTTTTTCAAAGTGCGGTCTCAATCTAACTCCTCATACATAGGCCTGATGTCAAATTTCCTCAACTCCAAGATGTTCATCTTCCTCCACAGATCACCACCAATAGCAAAATGCCTCCCCTAAGTGTTTTGTAAACTGTAAGGTGCTGGGCCATATTTGAGCAGCCCTTTCAAAAAGGCCTGAGCCCTGGTAGGGTAGCTCTGTTGGTTGGAGCATTGGCTCTGATATACGAAAGTTGCGGGTTCTATCCCCAGTCAGGGCACATACAAGAAGCAACTAGTGAATGCGTAAATGAGTGGGACAACAAATTTTCTTTCCCTCTCTCAAAATCAATCAATAAATAAAAAATTAAAAAGAAGAAAAGAAAAGCCCTAAATACCCTTCCTTCCTGTTTTAACTCAAAATACTTAGGGAAAATTCCAAACCTCCAGGCTCTTGCACAACCTTCCTTCCCTCTTTGTCATTGCTGATGAGAACAGCATCCATTTTTAATTAATTGCATTTTTTCAGAATGAAAGCACCATTCACTTTTACAACTGTGTCAACTTAAAACAGCTGCTGTTTTGCACTACCCCTAGGATTGAGGGGCCTAAATGATTTGTGTTTTTTAAGTGAGAGCAGACCCCATAGCTCTCTTCCTGGAAATTTTCATCAAATAGTGCTGAATGTTGAGTGACTCAGTGCCTCAGACAAGAAAAACATTGTGTTTCAAATTTATGAGTAAGCAGGAGATATCTTGGACCTGGGCAGTGGAGAAAGGGTCTTAATACAAAGGTGTCTGTGGAAGGTTCTATGAATCGCCCATTTTTCTTGCTAATAAAACTCTGATTTCAGTGTTTGGGGAAGGGAGTGGGTGACAATGTGCCCAGATCCAGGAAGCGGCTCATGATAGATCTGAGGCTCTAAGCCCTAAGTCAGTCTTAAAATCCAGTGTACTCTGTTCTTCTATCCAGTCCTGGCCAATGAGACACAAGAGAAACTGCTAAGGAGCTTCTGAGATTGTTTTTGCTTTCCTGTAAAACAGAATAGGTGTATCTGGTTCTACCCTTCTCCTGACTTTGAATATGGCTATGATCCCTGAAACTAGATCTTGTGTCCATGAAAAATTAGGCATAACAACAAAATAGAAGAAGTAATGGCTGAGATAGAGTCAAGCTGCTGCTGACCCCATGCCAGCAGCTGCCTATTGCCAAACTTCACATTAGATGAGAAAAATGAGACCTTTTTTGTTTAAGCCATAGAATGAAAGTTATTAAGAAATGTCGATGAACTCATTTTTGATCGCCCCATTTGGGTTTCCCTAACATTTTTACTGTATCTTGGTCAAATTAGCACAACTTGAAGGGCAGAGTCACAACCTCCATGTTGTTAAGGGTACAGAACAATGGTAATAGCTGCTGTCTCTAGTCACTCACCTCTTTCCAAGGCTGAGAGCAGAAATTTGTTATTTTGTCAATAATGTTTCCCTGAGAGAGGTGTTCTGTTGATGTAAGGTTTAAAAACTTCATCACATAATAATACGCTGAAAATGCCTGGAAGAGAAAAATGGAGTTTTGCAGTGTCCAGAACAGAAGGACATTGATTGTTCAGAATGCTGTACCCCTAGTGAAGGTGCCTGGAAATCTCTGTTGAGTAAATTCTCAGGATTGTTGATAATTCAGACCCTAGCAAGAGGGGTCACTTATACACAATGGAATACTACGCAGAAGAAAGAAAAAAAGAACTACTAAACTTTGCGACAGCATGGATGGAACTGGAGAGCATTATACTAAGCGAAATAAGCCAGGGGGCGAAAGACAAATACCATATGATCTCACCTATGAGTGGAACCTAACCAACAATACAAAGATGCAAGGAAAATAAGACCAGCAACACTGAAAGGAAAAGAAATCAACAGAGACAAGAGGGAAGGAGGGAGGGGGGGCAGGGAAAAGGAAGGGAAGGGGAAAGTCAAGGAACGTATAGCAAGGACTCATGGACAAAACCAAAGGGGAAGAGCTGAGGGAGGGAAGGACAGAGGGGGCAAGGGAAAGTGGTGGTGGGAAGGCAGAGACAAATGTATTTGAAAAAATAAATTAAAATAAAATTAAAAAAAAAAGAGGGGTCACTTTGCTTCTGACATGTATTTCTGAGCCAGTTGGTAGCTAATTTTTCTCAATAATTTTAATGGGAGAGTCAGGGAGAGAGATGGGTAAAAGAGAAGACAAAAAAAAAAGAGGAGGTCACTAAAATCCCATCTTCAAAAAATTATGTATTTCATATACTTTTTTTTAACAAAAACTGGAAAATGCTATACAGTGGTATTAAAAGTTATCTCTGAATAGCAATTATGACGTGTTTTTGTACTGCTTTCTTTAGTCAACATTTAACAAATATTTATTGCAGATCTATCATGAGCTAGGCACGACTGAAAAGTTTTTTAAAATCATTATTATAACGTAAATGAGAACTACAGAAAAAGTTAAAAGGACAATGAGTAAAAAAAGAGACATTTGATTAACATAACCTAAATGTTATCACTTAGAGACAAATAGTATTAAATATGATATAGGAAAAATACATTTTACTTCCATTCTAATAATATATCTAATTTTTATCATACTTTATACCACCCTATAACTTTCTTTTGTACCTTTATCATATGTTTTTGGAGAGGAAAAATTAATTGAGTAGAGTTTGCTAGATGAGGCAACTGAAAGCCAAACTCTAGTGCTTTTTCTCTTTCTTGCCCAGTTTTTAGGGGAAAACATTTTGGAGGTCATAAGAGCATGTCATTTGCTTATTTGACAAACTTGCTTAGCTCTGTATGTCAGGCACTGGGCTAAGCCACAGAATCTACTGTGATTATTGGAAGGGAATAAAGAGGTTTCCCTGTGCTAGAAGTATTTGGACTAAGGATTATATTTTGCCTTCTGTAAAATTACTAATCTAGAAGTGACTGGTGAAAGGGAATGTGATTTTCAAACAATCCAAGTGCATTCCTATGTAATTTTCACAGACAAAGATACAGGAGGGCAAAGAACAGGAATTAGCAAGGGTCCTACTTGGGGCTCAGTCTCTGTCTGACAAGTTCCTGCTACAAATAGGTTTTATGCTTTAAGTCCAGCCAAAGTAAGCCTAATGCCAGCTTCTTACCAGCTGCATTATTTTTTTTAAATATTCTTTTATATATATAATATCTTATTTTAAAACATGAATGTGTATGTATTTGTATTGGTCCTTCTTAATAGGGTTTCTTTTTCTTTTTTGTTTTTTGGTTTGTTTTTTTTTGGTCTGATTTTCTCCTCCACTTCTAGTTCCAACAAAAGCCCACATTAACATCTTAATATAAAGCCTTCCATTTTTCTCTCATTGCTCGTATAATCATACACAAACATACATATATAAGGATTTGCTTTTTATATGAAATTTTAAACATTCTGCATCTCGTTTTTCTTACTCAACAGTTTTTTATGGAAAACCCTCCAGGTCATGTGGAGACACTAATGTTTGCATAAGAATCCATGGTGTGAATGTATCATAATTTTTCAACAACTCCCTACTAGTGCTAGTGGGCATTCCCTAGATTCCTGTATTTTTGATTATAAGCAATGCTGTTATAAATTCTTCTTTACACTTAGCCTCTGAATTTGTTTGCTCATTCCTTTGGGGAAGTCGAGCTCCCTAGGGGCTTGGAAAGACAGCTTCCACATTCCTGGAACTTATGAATCCCAACACTTTAAACACCATATGCTGGTTGCAGAGTGAGATCTTGGCATGGTCCTCTTTCTACCATCTTAACCCAACACACCATCATATCTTGCATGGATACTGCAGTGGCCTCTTATTTGATCTCCATGTTAGCTTTTAAGTGCTATTCTAATCCTTCCTGCACATGGCCATTGCAGAAATCTTTTAAAAAACAAATTTGAGGTCCAGAATTGTCAGAAAATTGAGCTGTATGGAAGTCTGACAACCAAGGAATGAAGAAGTCACATTCATCCATACAGACTGTGCTACTAAAACAAGGAGTCAAAGCAGCTCTACCTAATACATAGAAACAAACAGGAAGCTGCCAAAATGAGGAGACAAAGAAATATGGCCCAAATGAAAGAACAGAACAAAAGTCCAGACAAAGAACTAAGCAAAATGGAGATAAGCAGTCTCTCAGATGAAGAGTTCAAAACACTGGTTATAAGGATGCTCAAGGAACTCATTGGATACTTCAATAGCATAAAAAAGGCACAGGCAGAAAAAGGTTACACTAAGTGAAATAAAAAAAAATTTACAGGGAACCAAGTGGTGCGTACAAAGCCAAGACTCAAATCAATGATTTGGAATATAAGGAAGAAAAAAACATTCAATCAGAACAGCAAGAAGGAAAAAGAATCCAAAATAACAGGGATAGGCCAAGGAGCCTCTGGGACAACTTCAAACATACCAACATTTGAATCATTGGGGTACTGGAAGGAGACAAGAAAAAGCAAGAAATTGAAAACTTGTTTGAAAAAATAGTGAAAGAAAACTTTGCTAACTTGGTGAAGGAAATTGACATAGAAGTCCAGGAAGCACAGAGAGTCCCAAACAAGATGGACATAAAGAGGACCACACCAAGACACACAATAATTAAAATGCCAAAGGTTAAAGATAAAGAGAACTTAAAATCAGCAAGAGAAAATCAGAGAGCTACTTACAAAGGACTTCCCATAAAACTGTCAGCTGATTTCTCAGCTAGATGGGACTGGCAAGAAGTATTCAAAGTAATGAAAAGCAAGGACTTACCTAGATTACTCTATCCAGCAAAGCTATCATTTAGAATTGCAGGGCAGATAAAGTGCTTCCCAGACAAGATGAAGTTAAAGAAGATCATCAGCACCAAGCCATTATTACATGAAATATTAAAAGACCTTATTTAAGAAAAAGAAGGCCAAAACTATGAATATTAAAATGGCAATAAATTCTCAACTATAAACAATTGAATCTAAAAAAAGAACAAACTAAGCAAACAAGCAGAACAGAAACAGAATTGTAGCTATGGAGATCATTTGGAGGGTTATCAGTTGGGAGGAGGAAGGGGAAGAATGGGGAGAAAAGTGCAGGGATTAACAAGGACAAGTTGGTAGGTACAGAATAGACAGGGGGATTTAAATAAAAGTATAGAAAATGGAGAAGCCAAAGAACTGAAATGCATGATCCATGGACATGAACTAAGAGGGGAGAGATTGCCAGAGGGAATGAGGGGTACTGGACAGAGCGAGGCAAAGGGGGAAAAATTGGGACAACTGTAATAGCATGATCAACAGAATATATTTTAAAAGGTTAAAAAATAGAAACAAACTTTATAATGTCACTCCTCTATTTAGAGCCTTCAGTGACTCCTAATTATACCTAGATTAAAGTCCACACTCTACCAGGTCTCTCAAGGACAGGTATGTTCTAACCCTTCCCACCTTGCAAATACCATCTCATACACTTTCCCACCTTCCCACCACACCCTAGCCACCTTGGCCTTCAATCTCTGCCAAGCTTTTCTTCTGTGGGGTTGGATATTTGCTATTCCCTCTGTTGGAATTCCCTTGACTTCCACATCTCCTCCTCAGAAAGATTTTCTAGTCTTCTACCTCAACTAGTACCTTCTGTTATTCCCTTTTAGAGGACTACATCTCTTTCTTCCCAAATTACCTCAGTCTGATTTGCTTTTGTTCATTTGTGTTTCTAGTCTTTTATCTACCTGCCTCTAGAATGGCAGGACCATATCTGCCTTAGCATGGCACTTGGCACATGGAAGAGCTCTATAAATGTTTAAGTTGCAGAAAACTGCTTTCCCTCTAGTTCCTAGAGCACTGTCTAGAATGTAAGAGACACTACCCAAAGCAATCTATAGATTCAACACAATTCCTATCAAAATACCAATGGCACTTTTCACAGAACTATAACAAATAACCAAAAAATGTATGTGGAACTACAAAAGACCCTGAACAGCCACAGCAATCTTGAGAAAGAACAAACTTGGAGGTATCATGCCACCCAATATATCCAACTATACTACAGGGCTACAGTAATCAAAAAGCATGGTGCTGGCATAAAAACAGACACATAGATCAATAGAATAGAACAGAGAGCCCAGAAATAAACCCACACCTATATGGTCAATTAATATTTGACAAAGGAAGCAAGAACATAAAATGAGGTAAAGACAGTCTACTCAATAAATGGTGTTGGGAAAATTAGACAGATACATGCAAAAAAATGAAACTAGACCACCTTCTTAAACCAGACATAAGAATCCTTGCTGTAAAAATCCTAGAATAAAACATAGGCAATAAAATCTCAGGCATTTCTTTCAACAATAGTTTTTTAAAATATATCTCCTCAGGCAAGGGAAACAAAAGAAAAAATAAACAAATGGAACTACATCAAAATAAATATTTTTGTACAGAAAAGGAAACCATCAACAAAATGAAAAGATAACTCACTAAATGGAAGAAGGTATTTGCCAATGATACATCCAACAAGGGGCTAATATCCAAAATTTATAAAGGATTCATACAACCGAACATCAAAGAAACAACAATACAATTAAAAAATGTGCAAAGGATATGAACAGACACTTCTCCTAAGAGGACAGCTAGCCAATAGACATATGAAAATATGCTCAACATCACTAATCATCAGGCAGATGCAAATTAAAACCACCATGAGATATCACCTCACACCTGTTAGAATGGCTGTCATAAATACATCAACAAGTGTTGGTGAGGATGTGGAGAAGAGGGAACCCTAATGCACGTTAGTGGGAAGGCAAATTGGAAAGCAGTATGGAGTTTCCCCAGAAAATTAAAAATGGAACTGCCTTATGAACCAGTGATTTCACTTCTGGCTACTTATACAAAGAAATCCAAAATATTAATCCAAAAGAACATATGCAGTATTATTTACAATAGACAAGATATGGAAGCACTGTCTCCCTGTATTTTATATTGTACCCTGTCCTTTATATTTTTAAAAAAATTTCTAAGATAATCCTGTTACTTTTATACACACACACATGCATGCACACACGCACGCACGCATACATATTTCCCTGTAGCACAGCAGAAACCAAGTCTTAGAATGAGATTCGAGCACAAAAACTGCTATCTGAACTGGGAATGTATCTATTTGACTTTCTCTCTTAAACAGTTGTGCTCCAGAATAAGGCCATCTATTTCTCCTCCCCTACTCCAGGACCAGTTTATTCATATTATATTCACTTTTTTCATTCTATCTTCCTGTCTATCTTTTTAAAAAGTCTTCCTTGTGTCAGGGCCTGAATGGTAGTTATCCTGTCTGTACATGTTCTTCAGAAATCCACTTGATTGGTTTACTATCTAAGATGGCTTCTTAAATCCGTTAGAAAAGTCTCTTTTAGAGTAGAATATTGCTTATACCAACATGCATTGGAATTGAACCTAGAAAAAGTGTTAATGGAATGGAGTGGTAGAGTTTAGGAAAATTTTTTTCCTTGATTTATATATATTATATAATGCAAAAAAACCCTTACTCTTACTCATAATGGTTCCAATTTTAACCCCTAGAATTAAATTGAATGACTAAAACCATCTTCTTCTTTTAATACCCCAGGAAGATACACTGATCAAAATCAAATGGTTCAAGTTTCTTCCTGTGGCTGTGGGAGGTGACTCTTTAAATGTTTTTAAGAAAAAAATAATCCTGATCCTACTCTTGGGGTAGGACTTTGGAGATTCAATACAGCAGATGTTTTTTTTTTTTCCCAGAATGAACCTAAGGACAATTCTGTAGGGTAGAGAAATGCTAATTTGGCTCTAGGAATTCCTGACTTTGCCTTTAGGTACAGGTGGTATGCCCTCCCATTTAGATCAAACTCTGTGATCAGCTCCCTAATTTTCACAGTAAGAATCAACTAAGTAAACTTTTACTTCATTGGTTTCTATAACCTGTGGGTCCATATTTAAACAGCAACTCAGAATAGAAACAGTCTAGGACATCGTCAGAGAACATTGCCTCAAAAAGGTCCTGATCTTTCATTTGCTAGCTTACATAATGAAAATTTGTGGAAGATTATATGAGGAATATATCTCTCCCCTCTTTTAACTACTCAAATCTTTCTCCTATCAAGATGATCATCAAAAATCTATATTACCTCTGTCTATCACAAACTTGCTGTCACTAAGTTGGCTTTTTAGTATTATGCCTCTGGGTTAAAATTGCTATAAAAATTTTAAATTGCTATTTAAAAGTATGGTCAAAGACATTGTCTAGCAAAATCCTTTGTAAAATATCCTTGAGATTTAATTTTAGAATAATTCTGCTTTGGCCTAGGACTGGGTATGCTGGGTATAATAAAAATTACATATCTGATTATGTCTTATTTTTCCCCTTGGCTACTATGAAACTCAGAGCTAAATACACACACACATATGTGTACATATTCCAGTTCCCTATTGAATTTGTTATACCCTTTCTTTATATAAATTATACAATGTAATCTTTTTTAAAATTCCTAAATTACCACATAAATAATTCTCTACAGATGTTCCTTCTTCCTCTTTGTATTTCTTATTTGCCTACAAATTTGACTCAATTTACAATTTTAGAATTAGATCATCAGTGCTAAATGCAATTGTGGCAAAAATTACCACCCTGAAAATTCTCTGTGGCTTGAGAATACCCAGGCTAACTGGTTTTGGAAATAATTAAAATACAACTAAATTTTCATGTTGCTAATAGTTTACGCCTCAAGGTGCTGGACTTCACAATGATAACTTTCTGCAGGAGTGAAGGCCTAGAATGAGGTTTGTTAGGAGAAAGAACTAACCCCACCTGGTGCTATGGAACATTAGCTTTTCACTATTTGCAGGGATATGCTGGAGCTGGCTCTTACCCACTCATGAGAGCTAATAGTTGATATTTCAGGAGTTTTGTGAGCCAGCTGATGTCAGGTTGATAGCTTAAAATAGGCCATGGTGGGAATATTTACAGCAGGAAAATTGGCAAATTCTTCAAATCAGCCCCTCCATCTCCAGAGAGTTAGTTGTAAGACATTCATCAGTCACCAATCTGTTTGTCTGGCTTATCACTCACAAAAGCGATGAGATAGGTATCTCTGTCTTCATTTTATAAAGGAGAAAACAGATTTTAAAAATATTTAGGATTTAGGGAGAAATCACAGAGGGCACCAAAAAAAAAAAAAAATCCAAAACAAGAAAAAACTGCCAAAACAAGAATAGGTACAGTACTGAACCTAAGGGTTATATTGAGAGAAGAAGGATGCTATGCAGAGGAAAGCAATCTACAGAGATTGCCAAATTGAGATTTAGAAGGCTGCGAGGAAGACAGTTTCAATAAGAGACTAAGAGACCAAACAAAAAAGCCTCCAGGGAACGTTCAAGGCTCTTCCACCCTTTTCCAGCTCCACCCCTCCCTACCTTGGTTGGAGGCATCACATTCAAAGGCAGGACATTCTGCCGCTGCCGCCATCACCACCACTACCATCCCACCCCACTTCCTGAGTAGGACGTATTTACGCTTGAAGGCAAGAATCGGGGGCTTGTTTCCCAGGGCACAAAGCTTTCTGAAAAGTTAAAAAGTCAACACACAAGAGTATACTCCTTTTCCTTCAGATGTACTTCCTAGAATTGACTGGAAAGGAAAGGGCCCTTGCCTGTCTCCAGCATCCCTGGCCATCTCCTTCCCTTTCGTGGCACCATCCTCTCTCTTTTAGTAGTTGGATCCAAGGCAAGGACCTTGCCTTAAAAAAAAAAAAAAAAAGCCCAACATGGAGAGCCAGTGCCAGCTCAGCTATAGGGCATCCAGGTGAGGTTCTAGTTTGTTCTGAATTTGGGTTTGGAGCCAACTGAAAACCAAGTTTTATTCTTCCAGTCATTGTCCTGTCATGTTCCCTCAGAAACCTTGAGGGGAGGGGAAATTGTGGTCTGGGCATGGTAAGCGCAGATCACCTTGCTCATTGTTATTTTCCCAGAGACCAAAGGATGAAGAGCTCACAGAGTTCACAAGTGGCAAAGCCAGGATTAAAACCAGGTATGATTGCTATGGGGCCAATGCTCTTTCCAAGGAGCTCTTTCTGTGCCATTAGGCTGGGCCCAGAGACCAGGGGAGAAATTTTCCTGCCAGGGTCCTGGAGGAGAGTGAAACCTTCCTCCTCACACGCTCATCTGTTTTCTGAAAAAGGGAGAAAAAGTGCGAAGGCAGATAAAAGCCCTTGCTTCTTTAAATGCTATCTTAAGTGAGATTATGCATATATTGTGCTTAGTCAATAATTGGCACTTGATTGATGGCAGCTAATTTTGCAATATGATGTTATACTATGATTACACCAATACTTGGTCTCTAGGACCAGAATGTGAAATTTGAATAATGAGTAGATCAAGAGGCACCTCTTCTACCTCTGTTCAAATTTTTTTTATCTTATTTTGAAGTAATTAAGAAAAGGAATTTGGACTTGGGATTCAAATGTCCCCCAACTCTTCAAAATCTAAGAAAAATGAATCTATCTTTAGTGTTTCCTTGGGGTTTTCTGAGTTTCTACTTTCTAAATGTCATGACAGAGTGAAACTTTAGCTAACACATCTAACTGCTGCTTTGCCTTTTCTGATACCTGAGAAGGTACCTTTGGCAGATCCTAATGGGTGCCTACCAAACCGCCAGCCCCCTTCTTCTGGCTTACAGATTCCTGATTTTACCCATCTAGGAGAAAGCAATGTTCTCAGGGAAGACTCCCCAGTTCCAGAGGACGAACAATGATTAGTCTAAATCAACCATAGTAATACATTTCCCTTTATCTTAGACTGGTTTAGAGGTGTGCATTTCACTAAATTCCAGCCAATGGCATCTGTAAAAATATTTCTTGGCACTTCTGCAACATTGAAGATGTATGCAAGAGAAACTTCCTTCTTGCCTTTGGCTTTGCATGTCAAGACATAATGCTGAAAGCAATAGCTGCCACCTTCACACCACAGGAAGATATTGAAAAAACTGATCGAGTCCTTATGTCATTAAGCCAAAGAACTAACCCTAAATTATCTACCTCAAGGCTTATCATCATGTGAAAGAAAAATAAATCCTATTTGATAAACTCTTTGTTAGGCACATATTTTATAACTTGCAGCCAAAATCATCCTAACCAATATTCCTTATCATTTCACAAACTTACCCCAAATTGTCCTTGAAGTTGTGGCAAGAAAACGTTATTGAAGGCACAGTGGGAATAAGAGCACATACTTGTGTCGAAGAGTTTAATGATGCTTTGCTGGCATTTTTCAAAGTCTCCAGTGCCGTGGATTTGTAATTGAGGAAATTTAAGAGTCTCCTGAAAATCCCTGGTGCAAGGACTCTTGTAAATGTCACTTTTGTTCATTACCCTCATGTATCCAGGGTTAAAACATGGGTCCTGGATGGTTCCATTTGTAGCCTGCATGGAAAAATTACTTGAAAGGGTCATGTGCAAATGCTTTGGGTACAAAATCACCAGTCTGACTTCATTAATGTGTAGGAATTGCACAACCTCCCAGCACTCAGCATTGGCATCAGTACACCTCTGTCCTGCCTTTTTCAGCCTTGGGAATAGTCAGATTTGTATAACAGGCACCAGAAGTGGTATCAGATGTAAATAAACTCTCTCTAGTCATTGAAAGCTAATATATTTCAAGCTGGGCCCAGAAATGCCTTTGGTTTGGAATGTTCCTAGTGCTTAGTTCTAATCACCTAGTCAGAAGCAGATTCACAAGAAAAACTAGAAAGGCTCAAAATTCTGAGCCTGGAGTAGTTCTGAAAGAGTTGACCTATGCCCCCATCCTCACCTCCAAGCTAAAAATAAGAAGCTCCAAGAGCTGGAAGTGCTTTAGATTATTTAAACCAGGAGCATCAAAATGGTTTTTAACCCACAACCCAGTATGTTCAAGAGAAGGAAGAGGACTGTTGTGGCTTAAGAGGCTTATTGGAACCTTGGTACTCAGTAGGGCTCTCTCAGCAGTCCCTACTCCAGTTGAAGTCACGTTACAGGTTGTGCTTCTGAGAACCAGAGAGTGAGCCTTGAAAAAGAGCAGAGAACTGGTTGTCCTTTTAGTGGAGACAGGGAACAGCTGGATATGACATCCTTGCTCTGTGTTTATTTATGAGGGTGTGCCTGGTACTCATATAATTGCAAGTATGTTTAACTTTTCTTGCTTTCAATATGCAGAAAGCATCTGGGGACAAGATTTGAAGTGCTGGTCTAGAAACTTAGTGTATTTTCTTTTCTTCTCCAGGTTGTTTCTAACAACCTGTTTTCTGCAGTTTGTAGGAAATGGAGATTAAGAAGCGGTAAAGTGGTTATAAATTGCACCCACCCTTCTCTGTAACAACACGCTCACATGTAATTTTCATTATCAACCCCATAGAGGTGAGAAATTATTTCCCAAGAAAGGATCTGAGTTGTGTCCTTGGAGATAGTGCAGTAAACAAATATAGGAGGTGATGTCTGGAGGGAACAATTCATAAGGGTCTTCCAGATATACTTAGATACCCTGCCTGAAAAAGTTTGGGAAGTATAGTAACCAACTTCAGATTAATTACTGAAGTAGAAAGAGAAAACAACAGGATGCGGGGGCTGGCAGCCCAGATGTGCAGAGGGTAGGTCTGGATTCAGTTATACTTGCCTGAATGTTCTTGGCTATTTTCTTCAAGAGCGCTTGATCCTTCCCGTAGCACAAGAAGCTGTGTGTGTATACACTGTAGTCCTTACCATATAGACGAAAGTACAGAGCATTTTGTGGAGACTCAATTGTCTGGTTTTGGGGCACAAAAGTGATTTGCGTAGAGGCTCCCCCAAGGTCTAAAGCTCCATAAGTCTCCTGACTCTCATTTTCATTTTGCCTCAGATTGAACCATCTCAGTTTCTGAAAGAGAGTAGAGTTATCAGTGGTAGAAGTCTCTGGACACCCTGTATGTTAAACTATTTCTTGGACTCAGGAACTTCCTAATGTGAAGGAGCAGGAGCATGAGGGTGACACAAAGCTCACTAGAGGTTCCCGAATCCACACCATATCAACAGCAAGAAAAGAGAGACCTCACAGACAAAGCTCAGACTGCAGCAATACAGAAGCAGTACAGTGTTTATGAACATGGGATTTAGGGCTGGAAAGACTCAAGTTCAAAGCCTCATTAGTCATAAACCTTGAGCAGAATAATTAACCCTCTCTAAGATCAAGTTGAGGCTCCAAAATGAGACAACACCACATACGGTTGTTCTGAGGACTAAATCATACAGAACATGGAAAGTGCTTAGTACAGCACAAGACACATAGCACTAGGCAAACATTAGCTATTTTTATTTTTAATGATAGATTTGTTTATGTCTCTCTAAAGTGAAGATATGGTTTCCTTATTCTCCAATAATAGAAGTTCTTGTAAGAGAATTACACCTCTGATGACCCTTGCAAATGTGGGGGTAAGTTAATTTGTTCATTTATCTGTCATACACTCTGGCTAGCAAACCAAGTACTGCCTGAGATAGCAATGGCATTGGCCTCTAGGGAGCCACTCCATGAGGGATGTAAGATAATCAATCACCTTAGTGAATTTTCCCAGCAAATAGTTGATAGTGATCCAGCCATAGGCACCTTCCTCTGTGCCAGTGATGATTCTGGCACCCTTAAAGTCAAAGGGATACCTGTTGAGGACATTCGTCACCACATTCAGGACATTGTCCGCCAACTTTTTGTCTTCAAGTCTATAGAAAAGAAGATCTGAGGTTACCAGTTTTGTTTTAATATATGTGGCTATCGATTTCAGCCACAGCTTCCAGTCAGTTCTCCCCAGAAGTGAATCATAACTCACTGGAATAAACAGAAAGATGGAGATATCGACCCATGGCTGTCTCCTTTTGGGTGAGGCAGAACTATCTTTTATCCCCCTCTCTCCAAATCCAAATCCTTCCATTCTTTAAATAGGTATATCTTCCTAAAATAACATTTTTGTTGTTTCCTGGCTCCAAAAACTTACCAAAGTAATTTTAATTATTGTGGTGGTCATAGCTGGGTATTTTTTGATCACTACACCTACAGCTAATATGTCATTAGCCATTGCTAGTGACTACTAGCTGGTTACATGTCCAGGCTCTGCTTGAGGTTTTTAATTAGGTCTGTCATAGACGCCAGGTAGCAAATGTCCTGGGACAGATGCCCAAGGCCCACTGCTGCTAGACTTGGAAAAAATCTTCCTCATATTGTGCCTCAGTTCTCAGGTATAAGACCTTGAGACCTAAAGGAAAAATCTTCCAGAATTGTCATAATGAAGATGGGATGCAATTGCTTCCAAGATGTAGACTTTTCAACACAGAGAGCCTCAGAGTTAAAGGATCCTACCTTCCAACTGGCATTAGACTCCTGTAACCTCTCATCTGTATGAATTCCATACCCTACCACCTGTCCCCCTTATCCCTAGTCTTCCTTCCCTCCAGCCCACTTTCTCTGCCAGTGGCACCCGCTGTATAACATCACTTAATGTCTTCTCATTATCTTCCAGATAAACTCCAAACTCCCTAGCATGCTCTGCAAGGCACTGTGTGACCTAGAACCTGCCTTCTCAGAATCCTGACTTTACCACTTACCAGGTGTGACCCTGGGTAAGTTATTTAACATTTATAAGCCACCGTTTCCTTACCTGGTTAATGGTAGTTAATAATGCCTCTTACTTCATAGAGTTAGTATGATTAAAGCATGGTGATAAGAACATAGTAAGGGCTCAACAAATACAAGCTGCTAATATAATTACTACTACCATTATTATTTTACTATCTGCACCCTATGTTCTATCTATAGTCCTCTGAACATGCCCTGGTCTCTCTCACGTTCCTGCCTTGACATCTATTAAAACACAAGCTCCAGGAAGGCAGGGACATTGTCCTCTTCACTGTATCCCCAGCACTGATACCAGTGGCTCACACATAGTAGTTGCCACAAACACATAGGTTATGGAATACACAATGTCTGCTCTGCCTGTGATGCCCTTGCCCCACCTTCCAACTCATCCTTCATGATTCAGCTCACATGTACCCTCCTCTGGAGAATCCTCCTGACCTCCTCCCATTCTGGGCAGGGCAAAGTGTGCTCCTGTAGCAGCTCTGAGCAGCCTTCTGTTAAAACATTGATCACCCTGTCTTGAAACTCTGATCTCCTTGAGGGCTGAAATTATTGGGTTGGCCAAAAGGTTTGTTTATTTTTTTCTGTAAAATAAGAGACACATTTTTCATTTTCACCAATAACTATTGATTTGGATATCTTGAGTATGTCAGCTATCTCCCACATAGTATAACATTGATTGTTCTCATTTAATATTTTGATTTGATTGCTATCAATGTCAGCTGGTCTACCCAACTGTGGAGCATCATCCAGCAAGAAATCTCCAGCACAAAACTTCACAAAACACCTTTGATACATTTGATCAGTCACAGCACCTTCTCCATATACTATACAAATCTTTTTTTTTGTATTTCAGTTGTGTTTTTGCCTTTCTTGAAATAATAAAGCATAATATGCTGAATATGTTGCATATTTTCTTCTGTCTTCAATATTTAAATGCATACACAAAAATTCACCAATTTTGGTAAGTTTTTTTTCAATGCATGCTGATAAGACAGCTGTCACAATACAATTTAACAAAGATGTTTTGAATGAAGTTAAAGACATCTAAGTGTTACTAGAGCCATCTTATAGAAAAAACAAACAAACAAACTTTTTGGCCAATTGAATGCCTACTCCATATCCTCAGACAGAGTAATCTGTCAATACCTGCTGCATGAATGAATGAATGACCAAGTGAATGAATGAGTGATGCACAAAATATTAAGCGGTGATGAAAAATGTGTTAGTTGTGAATATTCGTGTCTTGGGACATCTGTGACTCTCCTTGGGTCATCTCACTTTCAGAGATCGAATGGCTAAATATGTAGCCCCAAATCCCAAAGTATACGAGGTCTGTCCAGAAAAAGGCCAGCCATTGTTAATATAATGAGAACAGTTTGCATGACATTGATGTAACCTGGCAGCCAAGGAGAGTGGACTGGAATGAGCATGCCTGAACAATGACAACTTCACTGTACTGGTCAGTGGGATGGTAGATGCCATTGAGTGACCACGTATACTATGTGGCCATTGCATTCAAAATAACTGAATAGGTAGAGTAATGATTCTGCATCAAATTTTGTTTTAAGCTTGAACATTCCTCCACAGAAACTATTCAGATGGTTCAGAAGGCTTTTGGGGACAATGCAATTAGTGATTGGCAGCTATATCATGACAACACAGCCGCTCATGCATCACATCTTGGGCAGAGTTTTTTGGTGAAACATCAAATCACTCAGGTGACTCAGTCCCTCTACAGCTCAGATTTAATGCCCTGGCACTTCTGGCTTTTCCCAAAACTAAAACACCTTTGAAAGGAAAGAGATTTTGGACCATCAATGAGATTCAGGAAAATATGATGGGGCAGCTGATGGCAATTCCAGCAAAGGATTTTACAGAGTGTTTTGAAGAGTGGAAGAGACACTGGGAGAACTGTGTAAGGTTCCAAGGTGCCTACTTTGAAGGGGACTGAGGTGTCATTGTCCTATGTACAATGTTTCTTGTATCTTGTATCTTCTTCAATAAAAGTATCTACTTTTTGTATTACATGTCTGGATACTTCCTGGGCAGACCTCATACAGGCTCAATCTTTCTCTCTTTGTGCCCTTGCTCCCTTGAATTTCCTGGGAAAGAAGGGCAAGAGGGATTTTTTTTAAAACATACTTAAACTCCCAAAGTTACACATACTGAGTTGGGGAGTTTTACCCACTTATGGAGGATTGTAGGTATTAGGGAATTGTGGCACTCTCCTATGTGTTGCTATACCTGAGCAACCGCATGCCTGCTGTAGCTCCCAGGTAAACAGGTGTCTCGAAGTGCTGGGATGTTGGAATCACTTCCCTGGCTCTTTCCATGCATGCAGTCAGATAAATGCCTAAGTTATTCGTTTGCTGAGCATAACTTGAGATTCCAGGACCTAGAAGAAGATGTAGATGCAGATGACAATATTATTTCAAAATATAGAACACTTTGACAGTATTAGAGCAAAAGACTGGTGTTTTCTGATAAAATTCAAGAAGATAATTTATTGATGTGATTATACATTAGTCTGCTCTACTTTGAGGGTAACTCACTGAACCAACCGAGCCTTAGTAGGGACTTATTTTCAGACCTCAGGCTGGGTCTGTTCACTGTTTTGCAATGTTGCCACTGGATGGCACACTTTTCATATACAATTGCATAACCTTTCTAAGGTTCAGATTTTAATGGGACTCTCACAGATAACTACTCTATATAGCTACTTTTTTATGATTCTTCCACAAAACTATAATTAACCACAATAATTCCTAGAAGATCTAAACGGATGGAGGTAACATTTAAAACAAAACTTAAAATAAGCACCAGGTACTTTGGCTTTTACTGAAAAGATAGGAACTGCTACTAACTAACTATGTGATCATAGCTAGACCCCTAAAATTTCTGAAGCAGTTTCTTCCATGTCTCCTCAGTGGTTTTTCCACTCTGATACCCTATCTCCCTAGTAAGGCTGTTTTTCCAGTATTAGAGCAAAGCTAATTGTTGCTATGGAAAGGATTAGAGCCAAGACTCCTTAAGCTTTTTGAAGTTAACACTTAACAATTTCAGTTCACTTTAAAAATATCCACACTATCAAGGGCTTTATAGTGATAATTTGGTTTAAAGATAATTATCCAGATACATTATCCTTACCATTCATAGGTTTTTAAACAGCCTGGTTACTTAACCGTAATAAGAAAATCAATTCTAAGTTATCAACTAATTGTTTGCATTTTTAAAAGTCTGGCCTTCAAGAATGGGTGGGGCCCAGCACCTGTGCTTTAACAAACCCTCTAGGGGGTTCAAATTTGAGAACCACTGGCTAAGAGATGGTTTTGAAGTTGGGGAAATCTCCATTTGAATCACAGTTCCATCACCTACTAGTTCAAGCAAGCTTAAACAGGTGGCATAACATCTCTCAACCTCAGTGCCCCCATTTTTAAAAATTAGAATAAAAATACATACCTCAAAGGGAGATCGTGAAGATGAAATAACATTTTTAGTACTTAGGTTGGTGCACAGCACACAGAAGTGTCCTGTTGATGGGAGGTGCTATTACTCAGTTATTTTTTAAGTTTATGCTTCAAGGGCTCAACCATTTAATGATTTCAAATTATTTTTATAATGATTACAAAATAACAATAGCGGCTCCACAGTGTTCTTCGCTTGACTTGCTTTCCTTTGTGTGCTCCAGTTGCCACATATGTCTCATGTCCCACTGTCCCCCCTTCCCCTTTCCTTCATCTTACCTTTTACCTTGCACTCGTCTATCTGATTCACCACCCCTGTGTCATTCTCCTTTTCTGCTGGCCACTTATAGATGTACAACGTGGTGTGAGAAGAACCTGCATCCAGCACAATCCCATACTGAGGGCAAAACAAACCAAGAACTTATCAGCATTATGTTGTTCTTCTCCGTATTCAGCTTGCAGCAGAAAAAAAGAAAACACAGGAATTTTCAAAAATGTGAGAAGAAAGTATTTTAATTCAAGAGGAACATGGAGGGCAGGGGCGGGGGAGACTGCCTGGAGTTGCCCTGATTACAACCTCTACAAGAACTCCAGAACTCCAACCACTCTTGCACAGTGGTTCTCAATGCTGGCTACACATTAGAAATATCCAGGCCTTACAGGGTGGGGCGGGGAGCGGAGGGGCCTGAGCATCAGTTTGTTTAGAAGCTTCTTGGGTGGTTCTGCTGTGCAGCCAAGATTCTGAACCACGTGCTCAAGTAGTTGAGACAATATGGAGGGAATAGAAAGCCATTATTTTAGTAGTTCCTAAACTTATGTCCACAAAAAAAATCATTAGAATTACCTGGAGAGCTTCAAAGGTTACTGATGCCTGTCTTCCACCATGCGCGTATGTAATTTAATTGGTCTGGTATGTGGTTTGGGCTTTGGAAGAGACACATGGAAAATACTATACTTGCTTGCTTTTTTATTACAAATACAACTATAAATTGTACTCAATAAATTTTAAGAGATATGTACTTTAACTTCATGGTCGGGGCTCTTAAGAGTAGGGGGTGATGAAAGGAAGAAAGAATGTTGGGTTGGGGGAAGACAGCATAAGTAAGAACTAGGTGATCAGCGCACAGGAGAAAAACAAAGTCCCCAGCTCATATTTCATGAGTATATTAAATGTACCAAGCAGGTGTTTTATGAAGCATTTTATAAGAATTACCCAACTTAACCCTCAGAACAGTACTGCAAATTAGGAAGTATTTTTATCCCCTCTGCATAGGTAGGAAACTAAAGTACAAAAAGGTTATGTAATTTACTCAAGAGACACAGCTAATGGGTGCCAGAACTTGAACTTGAATCAGACTCAAGAACTTATGCTCCTTATACAGAGAAATATAGGACCAAGGACTAGACAATAGTTTTCATATGGGTGCCCACTTTTTTTTATTAGACTTTTTATGTTTTAAAAATTATATTGATTATGCTATTACAGTTGTCCTGATTTTCCCCTTTTGCCTCTCGCACTCAGCACCCCACACTCCCTCAGGCAGTCCCCACACCATGTTCCTGTCCATGGATCCTGCGCATAATTCTTTGGCTACTCCATTTCCTATACTGTACTTTACATCCCCATAGCTATTCTGTAACTATTTGTTTGTACTTCTTAATCCCCTCACCTCTTCACCCATTCCCCTATACCCTCTTCCCATCTGGCAACCATCAAAATGCTCTCTGTATCCATGATTCTGTCTCTGTTCTTCTTGTTTGCTTTGTTTTTTAGATTCAATTGCTGATAGATATGTATTTTTTGCCATTTTATTGTTTACAGTTTTGATGTTAAAGTCTCTTTAACATTTTATATAATAATGGTTTGGTGATGATGAACTCCTTTACTTTTTTCTTGTGTGGGAAGCTCTTTATCTGCCCTTCAATTCTAAATGATAGCTTTGCTGGGTAGAACAATCTTGGCTGTAGGTCCCTGTTTGTCATGACTTTGAATACTTCTTGCCAATCCCTTCTAGCTTGCAAAGTTTATTTTGAAAGGTCAGCTGATAGTCTTATTGGAACACCCTGTATGTAACTAACTTCTTTTCTCTTATTCCTTTTAAGATTCTTTATCTTTACCCTTTGTCATTTTAATTATGCCTCTTTGCATCCATCTTGTTTGGGACTCTGTGCTTCCTGGACTTACATGTCTATTTCCTTCACCAAATTAGGGAAGTTTTCTTTCATTATTTTTTCAAATAGATTTCCAATTTCTTGCTCTTTCTCTTCTCCTTCTGGCACCCCTATGATATGAATGTTGGGCCTCTTAAAGTTGTCTCAGAGGCTGCTTCTACTTTCCTCATTTTTTTGGTATTCATTTTTCTTCTTGTTGTTCTTATTGGTTGTTTTATGCTTCCTTATGTTCTGAATCATTGATTTGATTCTTGGCTTCATTCACTCTATTGTTGTTTCCCTGTAAATTGTTCTTTATTTCACTTAGTGTATCCTTCATTTCTGACTGGATCTTTTTATGCTTTTGAGGTCCTCACTAAGTTTCTTGAGCATCTTTATAACCAGTGTTTTGAACTCTGCATCTGAGAGATTGCTTATGTCCATTTTGTTTAGCTTTTTTTCTGGAGTTGATTTGTTCCTTCATTTGGGCCATGTGTCTTTGTCTCCTCATTTTGGTAGCTCCCTGTGTTTGTCTCTATGTATTAAGTAGAGCTGCTTTGACTCTGTACCTTAGTAGTGTGGCCTAATGAAGTAGGTGTCCTGTAGGGTCCAGTGGCACAGCCTCCCCTATCATCCAAGCTGGGTACTCAAGGTATGCCCTTTGTGTGGGCTGAGTACACACCCTCCTCTTGTAGTTGAGCTTTGCATGCTGTTGGCAGCAATGGGAGGGATTTACCTAGGCCAGTCAGCTGCAAGGATCAGCTCTGACCTCTGACCACCAACCTCCACGCTCCATGGAAGATCAGCTGTGCAGGGGCAGGGTGGTGGTGCTCCAACATTGTCTGTAGCTATCCACTGGATGTGCTGGCCCTGAAGTTTCCAAGGTGGTACAGGCCAAGGTCAGCCCCCACCTGTGTTCTGCCCTAGGCTACCCTGCCTGAGCTATAAAGCAATCTGACATGGCTGCTACTTGTGCTAGGCTGGGAGATTCCCAGATGAAGAAGCCAAGCTATGAATCTAGTCTGGCTGCTGCTGTCACTTTGCCTTGGGCTCACTGAGGCCAGCTATTGCTAGTTTGATAGGATTTAGGAAGTTGTGAACATGAACCAAAGACAGCTTACATGGGCCCCTAAGTTTGGTGGGGCAGAGTCCCTAGGGATCTCCAAGATGGGTCAAACAGTGTTAGCCAGATTGATGGAGTCTCAGATATGGCACCAGCTTGCTGACTCTGTTGGGAGAGGATTTAGAAAAGGGATAATGGCCTCTGCTCACCTTGATTGCATGTACCTCAGTTTCTCCCAGTATGCCACTGGTGCCTTTCAAGCTGCTATACCAGTGCTGGAGTGAGTCTGAGTAGGTGAGTCCATGTGTGGGTTCTTTAAGAAGAACTTGGGACTCCAGAAGTTTCTTCCACCAACTCAATCTCTGCTGGTTTTTGCAGCCAGAAGTTGGGGGGCCTTATATACCTGGCACTAGAACCTGGACTGGGAGGGCCTGGTGAGGGACTGGGACTCCTCACTCCTGAGATGTCCCTTCCAAATTTTTATCCACCACACATTGGTAAGAGACCAGCTGGTTCAGTGTCTTTGCCCCTCCTACCAGTTTGGGTAGATGTGGTTTCTTTAAGTCCGTAGTTTGTCAGACTTCCATTCAACTCAATATATGACAGTTCCAAGTGATGGTTATTCTATATTTTAGTTGTAATTTTGATGTGGTTGTCTGAGGAGGCAAGCCATGTGTGCCTATGCCACCGTCCTTGACCAGAAGTGACCTGTTGCCCCCTTTTAAGAACTTTTAGTGAAAGAGAACTATAGCAAAATATGCAAATCTCAGCTGTGCATCCCAGTGAATTTTTGCCTATGTGGACATCCATATAAACCACCACCAAGATCAAGATACAGAATATTTTCTAGCCCCCAGAAGGTTTCCTGGTGTCCCTCTTAGTCGGTTTCCCCCATGAGTAACCAAAGTCTTGACTTCTATCACCATGGATGAGTTTTTACCTGTTTTTTTGAACTGCAGTAAATGGACTGACATAGTGTGCCTCCTTTATGGCTAACTTCTTTCATTGTACATTATGTCTCTAAGGTGCATTCAAACTGTGTGTATCAGTAATTCATCCCTTTTCATTTCTGTAGAGTATTTCATTATTTTCATATACTATATGCATATTTTTATCCACTTTAATATTGATGGACATTTGAGTTGTTTCCAGTTTGGGACTATTAAGAATATAGCTGCCAGGAACATTTTTGTACATTCCATTTTGTGGACATGAGCTCTCATTTCTCTGGGGTATTTACCCAGGAGTAGACTAAGGAATGCCCATTTTGATCAATTAATATTCATCTTTGATTACGGCCCTGGGTTTAATTAGGAACAAAATGCCATGATTGAATAACAATGTCTGCCATGGGCTTGTGCGGGGCACATGTACTTTTCATTTATCATCCTTATACTGGAGACAAAAATGGAGAAAAGTAAATGGGAGAGCAAAAGGAAGAGAAACAGAAGAAGCACTTCCAAAGTGTGAGCTAACTACTGTTCTCATATTTTGTGGCTCATTTGAACTGTGGACCTCCAAGTGTGGTCTGCCGTTGATGATGCCTAAGTCAGCGCTCTCCCTCCCAGGAGCATATCTGTGCCTTTCCCTTCCCCTTCTTCTTCTCCCAAGAGGCGTGCATGTCCTAAACTCAAAGGGTCCCCATGAGACTTGCAACAAGGGGAACAATGGGCAATGGCAGCTTGCCCCGAGCTAACCCCCTCAACCTGTCTCCAAGGCCCCATTTTCTCTGACTTTCATGGGGGCAAAGCAGCCCGACTAGGCTCATTTCTTTCCTGTAACATTTCTAAAGAGCCAAAGCAGCCCTTTCTAGGGCTCGGTCCTGTTGCTTCTTCTATCCTAGGCCCAGCTTTAATAAACATATTCTCAGAATCACCTGGACTTGTGTTGTGAAATCTTTCCTGCATGAAGAACCCACACGCTACAGACTGGCCCAAGGCAGACCCAATCCAGGTCCAGTTCCTTTATGGTAACATTAATTCTATGGAGTCCTAAGTAATAGTCATGCTAAGAATGGAATTGTGACAGTTAAAAACTACCTTGTAGTATCTCACTTCCCTTTATCATTCAACTGCCACATGCTTGATGTCATTCTCAATCTTTCAAGGTTATAAATATTTTTAAAAAGGGCTTTCAGGAAAAGAAATCAACAGAGACAAGAGGGAAGGAGGGAGGGGGGGCAG